TCTTATGTCCTCCACTTTTAATGACCATATTCCATAGCCAAATATTATAACGGAGCACACTGTAGCGTGACATACTTAGCCCTTAACAAGCCATCGGAAATCAAGGCAGCTCGGTAGATGGAGTAAGTTAGCAGAAGCCAATAAAGTCTTTTGTATCCATAGGGATTTCATCGGTCACTGGCCGACCAAGACTAATCTGACTTCCAAAGTGAATTAAGCGATCAACACTTAAACACTTTATTCCCCATTAGACAAGGCATAGACCAGTTCTGAAGTAACAATCTGTATTTGGCGGTGGGAGCGAGGAACGCATCTCAAACTGGCACTCAAGGTGTTCAGGAGACTCTGAATCTTGAAAACGCTACCCCCTAAAAAGACTGTCATCTGTGGGCTCCAAGTTTAATTATGATTCTTTAGTGACGAAATAAATTCCTGTGAAGTTGGACCACCACGAGTACATCGATGACAAAATCAAATAATGGAGAGCACCAACAGACCACGACGTACACAACTCATCTGACACTCCACAATGGGTCCTAACATACCGACGGTGATTGAAGTACAGCCTTCACCCATTACCATTTCTCGCAGGAGAAACTATCAGAAGACCTCTTGATCCAGACTCAAATACCGACTCCAGTTCGAGAAATCTAACTCGTGTTAGCAACGGTAAGTGTACCGTGTTCGAATACCTAGCGAGGGATGAAGATCCGGTCGACGTACTCACGACCAAGTCGGAAACCTGCTTGCTTTCCTCCACTTAAACGTCTAATAATCACAGAACCTACTATATCAGGTACAACTTTCCGCCTGCTGATTCTAATACTTGTCAGGATTTTTCCCCTGATTAGGGCAGTCGGTGATTCAGACCAGACAGAGGGGATCATATATAATCCTCGACAACCATTTTTACATACTTCTGGTACTATTCCATATGGGCCTGATGCCTTTCCTCGTCTCACTTTGACAGTTTTCTCAACTTACGGAAGAGTTGAAGGTCTTATCTTACTCTCCAAACCAGGATATCACTGGCCGGCAGGAAACGACAGTGTGGCTGGGAACTAGTTGAACTGTCCCACCCATCTTCCTTGCGAGTAAATCGCCGACCCATCCTTTTCCGCTACTAGCCACTGGGTTACTCTAAGACCAAGGTATTTAGTTGTTACTTACAACCATACAGCAAGGCGGTGGCTGCATTACCTCCTACTTTCTCATATCACCTTTAACAATCACGCTAGGGTTCTAAAATGAGTCACAATGCAATGACATACTCATCTCTTAGCAATGGTAACAATATCTTTCATTTGAGACAGGTAGTGCAAATGAGTTTCGCCCTAGCTCCTAATATTCAGAGGGCGCTCAGTCCACTATAGCAAAAGTAAATAGAACGAAACGCTCACTTTCGTAAATACTTTTAGTAGCATTAAGTGCGGAGGCAGTTTAATCTCAAGCTATTTTCTATCTGCCTATGAATTATTCGTTAATAGTGGCTGCATACTCAGGAGTACTTGTCCTGGACTTCCTTATTCGTGAGATCGTAATCATACTTCATAAACACTACATAATTTCAATCCAAACCTTCCTGAATAACTCATTATTATTATTATTATTAGTCCCTTGGGTTCCTAGTGGAACATAGGGCTTCAGTAGCACGCCTCCAGTGACCTCTGTTCTCTGAGATCTTTTGAACCTGGTCCCACGACAGCCCAGAAGCTCTCATTTCCTGCTCGCACGACCTCCTCCATGTCACCCTTGGACGTCCAACTCGTCGCTTCCCATGGGGATTCCACTCGAGGGCCTGACGCGTGATGTCCTCAGTCGGCCTTCTCAGTGCATGGCCAATCCATCTCCACTTCTTCCTGCATATTTGTTGCGTGATAGGTTCTTGGTTGGTTCGTTCCCAGAGTTCCTTGTTGCTTATTTTTTCTGGCCATCTGATCTTCAGCAGCGAGCGTAAGCAGTTGTTGATGAATGTCTGTAGTTTATTGGAAATACCTTTCGTGACGCGCCAAGTCTCTGAGCCATACAAGAGCACTGACTTGACGTTGGTGTTGAAAATCCGTATCTTGTTCCGCATGCTGAGTGCAGAAGATCTCCACACTGGTTTCAGGCTAATGAATGCCTGTCTTGCTTTTCCGATTCTGACTTTGACGTCCTCGTCCGTCCCGCCTGTAGTTGAAACAGTGCTTCCTAGATAAGTGAAGGAGGTTACTTCCTTTAAGTTTCTCCCGTTGACAGTGATTGGAGTTTGTTGTTGTTGATGGTGGTGGTGCGGTATCTTCATCACTTCTGTCTTCTCTATATTCACCTGAAGTCCCGTCTTCGCTGCCTCTTCTATCAACTTGTTAGTTTTTGCCTGCAGATCTTCAAGTTTATGTGACATTAGGCATAAGTCATCGGCGAAATCCAAGTCTTCTAGGTTCTTTTCCGTCGTCCAGTGTATCCCCCTCTTCTCGCTGCCTACTGTTTGCTGCATGATCCAGTCCACCACAATAAGGAATATCATGGGGGATAGTAGGCAACCTTGTTTCACTCCTGTCTTCACTTCAAAGGCATCACTGAGCTTCCCATTGTGGATTACTTGGCATGTGGCATCTTCATATAGTTGTTGAATGAGGCGGATAAAGGTTTGCGGCACTCCGTAGTAATGAAGCAGCTTCCAAATTACCTCTCGGTCGACGCTGTCAAAGGCCTTCTCAAAGTCGATGAAGTTGAGGTGGAGAGGTGATTGCCATTCTATGCTCTGTTCTATGATGATGCGAAGCGTTGCAATTTGGTCTGCACATGATTTGTACTTCCTGAAGCCTGCCTGTTCCGGTCGTAGTTTTGAATCCAGTGCATCCCTTAGCCTCTCCAGGATGATGCGGCTTAATATTTTACTTGGGGTGGACAGGAGAGTGATTCCGCGCCAGTTCTTGCAAGCACTGAGGTCTCCCTTCTTCGGCAGTTTGACAAGGTAACCCTTCTTCCAATCGTCAGGTACCTTCTCTTCCTTCCACACCTTCTGCAATAGTGGTGTGAGCATGGCCGCTGTTGTCTCTGCATCTGTTTTCAGTGCTTCTGGCGGTATTCCATCTGGTCCTGCTGCTTTCCCACATTTCAGTAGCTTTATGGCGTTCAGGACTTCCATTTTCGTTGGGGGATTAATGTTCACTTGTAGTTCAGCGGCTGCAGGTGGTATTTCTGGACGAAGTGCAGGTGGTGGTCGATTCAAGAGCTTCTTGAAGTGGTCGGCCCATCGTTTCCTCTGTTTCTCTTCTTTTGTAATTAAATTTCCTTCTTCATCTTTTATTGGTTTCATCTGTGTTGGTCTCTTCCCTGATAGCAACCTGGTTATTTGATACAATGTCGTCAGGTCTCTCTTACCTGCAGCCTGTTCTGCTTCACTTGCCAGTGTTTCGTAGAAGTGTCTTTTGTCGTTGCGTGCACTCTTCTTCACTTCTTTGTCCAGTGTTTTATACATTGTGCTCAGTTCCTCTTGTCGTTGAGCATCCTTGCACTGGTTTATCTTCCGCTTCACCATCCTCCTCTCCTCTATCAGCTTCCAGGTATCCGTCGAGATCCATTCCTTGTCTTCCACCTTCTTCCTTCCTAATACTGTTGTGCAGGTTTCTTTCCACATAGCTTTCAAAGACTTCCAATGTTCTTCCACACAGGTTTCTTCAGGGATGTTGCTCGATGTCTCCCATTTTGTCTTGATGGCTGCCTTGAAGATCTCCTTTGTAGTTTCATCCTTCAGTTTCCGAGTGTTGTACTTGAATTGAGGTCTATCACCAGCTTCCTTGAAGGCTTTTAACTTGATTTGGAAGGTTCCTTGCACTAGGTAGTGGTCTGAACCTACATCTGCTCCTCTTCTTGACCTCGTGTTAAGTAGACTGCGTCTCCATTTTCTTGAGATTGAGATAAAGTCGATTTGATTTTTAGTGTGTCCATCTGGTGAAATCCATGTCGCTTTGTGGATATCTTTGTGCCTGAACACACTGCCTCCAATCACCAAATCGTTGAATGCGCAGAATTCTGCAAACAATTCTCCATTCTCATTCATTTCACCTAGTGCCTCTCGACCCATGGTTAGTTCTCTTCCCGTGTTGTCCCCTCCCAGTTTGGCATTCATGTCGCCCATCAGAATTTTGATATCGCCAACTGACGTCTTGTCCAGTGTTGATTGAAGTTGTCTGTAGAAATCCTCCTTTTTCTCTTGCTCTGCATTATTTGTAGGTGCATAACATTGTATGATTGTGACCTTTCTTCCTTTTGAGTTGAATCTTGCTGTCATGATCCTGGAGGAGATTGGTTCCCACTGCATGAGAGCCTTCGATGCTCTTGAGGACATCATGATAGCCACTCCCTCAGTGTGCTCGTGGTTGGCGTCTGGGTGACCGGAGTAGATTATTGATTCTCCAGTTGACAGTTTGGAGAGTCCACTCCCATTCCATCTGCTTTCGCAAATCCCAAGCACTTCGATGTTATACCTTCTCATCTCCCTTGCAATCTGGGCTGCCTTACTGGGTTCAAACATCGTGCGGACATTCCATGTCCCCACGTTTACTTTCGCTTTCATCGAGAGAAGACACATCGGCCAATTGGCTTCCCGAAGGCTTTCACCAACTGGCGTCATTTCGCCTCTCCGATTCCAGCGGGGAATAAGTTTGTTTTCATTTTTTATATTTTGTTTGTGCTTTGAAGTTTCTTTAGCGGTTAGATTTGTTTTACGGGGTAGGGTTGCTAGCCCTATGCCCAACCTTCCCTCTTTACCCGGGCTTAGGACCGGCTAGTAACTAGTAAACTAGTTAACCATAATAATAATAATAATAATAATAATAATATACCCCTATTGCGTTCCACATTGAAAAAAACAGTCGAGTAAAAACCAAATACCAAGAGGAAAATCTTTATATATTTTAAATGTACATGGTACATAAATGTATATCATACAAAATCTTGTAATTCCACGACTAAACGTGGGGTATAATAAATGCTTGATATGGGCGTAGTAGTGCTCAAGAAAGTAGCTTCAAACCACCAGAAACACGGTCAATATCCGAGGCCAAACCTATGAAATAAAGTGGATGAGTAACATGCGAAACAACGATATCAACACATACCTGGTCCTATGCCAAGAACTGTTGCAGTGCCTGCTGCAACCTGTGTATGTCCAGCATCATGTATTATTGAGTTTACAAGACCTAATTCTTCAGCTTTATCGGACAACTTAAGCCTATGCAGAAAGGATCAAAGTAGGCCTATTACAGAAAACCGAGAGGGATGCACCTTACATATCATCATAGTTATCTATTCGGAGCACAATCTTAGGCTGACCTTGGTCTTCCCAAGTTTTTAATATACCAGGATCTCGATCGATAATCTCTTGATAACACGCTAGTGCGGCATGCGAACACTTGTTTTTGAAATTTAACAAACAGCTTGAAATTAGAAGTCAAGCTACCTGTGCTGCAACTTTACCACAACCCATTTTGAGATCAGACCGAACCACTAATACTAACTTCATTTTTCCAGAGACATGCTTAAAGTTTGCTAACTTCGATACTGCACGGGCCTTAACATACAAAAAATTGAGTAGTTACTCATGACAAACAAGCTTACACTCCTTCCGAATCTTCCAAAAATAAGCCAACCGGCAAAAACACCAAGACCACCGGATATAAGAGATGTTATGATGGTGAAGTCCATATAATTATTTTTATATGTCAGATGACTGGTATTTTTAATAGGTTGTACGAATATTGGCTTGAGATGACACAAATCAAGAAAATTGATAGGCAATACGGTTTATCGAAGACGTGGAATACAGTTTCATATTGGCGCTGGGAAACTTCAGGTCAGTCAGTTGCTGTAAGTACATCGAACATCCAACATCAATCCAACAACTGCAGTGAGAGCAGAGGAAACTTGTAGTTTTCGAGCTCTCACTTTTGGGTCTTCAGACTTGGTTCTTTTTGTCTGATTGTACTTTTTCGATGGTTGCAGAAGTCTTTTCGTTTTTCCTGCTTATAGCTTTGGAGGTAGTGGTTGATTATTTGAAGGTATTTTTCTTGAAAATTGTAGGTTGGTTTGTTGTTTTGAGGGGAGGGGGCGGAAGTGCTGATAAGATCAATTAACCTTTGGGAATTCTTGTTTTTGCAAGCACCTGCAACTAAGTATTAAGCGTTACTTAAAAAGTGATAGAAATAGTGTGAGTGGGGAATGAGCAAAAGAAGACTGAAAAGGGCTTGTGGAAAGATAAGTGTTGCTGGTAACAATCAATCAAATGGATGGGTCTCATTGCAGATATTAGTGCTGAGGAATGCGGGAATGGAAGCGAATATCATCAGTTGTTGCCTATAAATGTTCGTGGCAAGCCATCTGTGCTCACCTACTCATCCAGTAGTTGTTTGAAGGAGTCGACTGGTGTGGCTGTGGCTGCTTCTCTCGGTGGAGCGTTCCATAAGCCACATATCCTGTGTGAGAAGAATTCTGATCTCACTCTCGTCTTAGCTTTATGGTTTAGCGTCACGTGCTCCTCTAAAATCAATAGCCTAGGGTTTGACGAGATTCAACATTGATGTTGGCCTCTGTAGTTTAACTGGACTCGCAAGGCTGAAGGCGCATGGTCAGGCATCCTCGTCAATTGGCAAGCTGTCGTGTCACGTTGTACTGCTCGTAATCGACTCTCTAACCAGTTAGTTGCGACGCGTCGGTATCTTGGCGCGACCTCGCAAATATGCTATTCCACCCGACTACGCTATTGCATTCTTCCATGGTCTAGTATTCGTGGGTAGATAAAAATTTCGAATAATTGGTGATCGGCCTTTGCGCCTGTCAATTTCGCACCAGGACATTTCCTAAAATGGTATGTGAGTGGGGTTTTGAACTGATAACGTTGACCTATTTGGGTGGCGCGCTTGGCGAATGATCTTTCAAACCGTTATCAGGTCACCTCGTTTCCCTCGATAGCTAAGTGTGAAGAACTTGAGTTGTCTGAGGCGTTGCGTGCATGTTTTTGCCTATCAGTCCGACACCGACCTCATCACCCTTCTTTGTAACTTCTTGAAAGTATTTTTGTCTCTCTTTAGTGGTGGGGAAGGGGCTATCGTGTTGAACACCTCTAAGTGTGGTCTAGCGTAGGTTTTAAATACTATGAGAAATAATTTTGGGGTTAAAGATCCAAGCTGCTTCCTTAGAAATTGCATGATGGCGTTCGTCTTGGCTACCATTCCCTTATAACTGTCATTAGTGTCCAATGTGCCAGAAACGTTTAATACTAGGTCTTCCTCTGTGGATACCTTGGCGATTGTACACGTGTCGACAGTTTAGCTGGTTTCCATCTGTGTTGGTGTGTAGGGATACATCACCTAGTATTTCTACAGGTTAAAGCTTAAACCATTCGCTGCTACAGGTCGTTTTGGAATATCCCAGGATCCTCCTCCTCACCTGTTGTCCTCAATTTAAATGTCATTGGTAAATAGGAAGGTAGACGAGGAGATTTTAATGGGAAGCTCGTCTATTAGTGGTAGAAATAGGAGTGGCCAGAGGATCACTCCTTGAGAAACTCCTGTTCCCGTATTCCTCCAGGCTGATTGAATTCTGTTTATCTGAAGATAAGCTGTAACGCATGCTATGAGCAGCTTAGTGATACTCACGTTTGCAGTTCCGATATCTCACTGTTGTTCAGAGGTCCCCCGGCCGGTCCTATGATCAGGTTTCAACCCTCATTCACCTGTTTCCATTATGACATAAACCCATATCCCAAGGGCTGACTGGTCACAAGGAAGACGGCTAACTTATGCCGTGAAAGCGGTAAAAGCATGATCTATTTTGCAATTCTTTTAACTGGTAGTTTCAGTGACATGCCACATCTAGCTTTCCATATAAACTGTTATATAAGCCATATGTAACCGCCAAACTGCGGTACACAAAGAGACGGCAGTTCAGTAGAGTGTGGTTGACCATATGTATAGGTAAGTTATGCCAATTCAAAGTTATGGAGCTTGTTGGTTGATGTTCGAAAGAATTCTGTTTCGTGAGTAATATGGAATCCTGCCTGTTTAACAAATAATCACAACCACACTGGTGTATATTGATTATTATGAGTGTTGTGGGTGAAAACGGCCTTCTGACGGAATGTTATCTCGAAAGGTACTTTTTGTGCCCTTTGTGTATGGCTAGGCTGGGTGTATTGCGTTACTGATGTGAGTTTCTTGCCGACAGTGATAGCGATGATAAAAAGTGTGTTTTTGAAAAACCCTACTCTAACTAGATGCTTTATTAAATATGAAACTGTAAGACGGATGTTCATTTAACGTACTCGCTCCATACGAGCCATGTGAATTCAATTGTCTGCTGTCGGGGCAGATGAGATGAATTTATCGGGGAAGTTTTGGAACTGTCCCTATGCCAACTTGAGGGACACAGGGGCCAACCCCTAAATATTCCTATTAGTAATAAACCCACGAATACGAGACCAAGAAAGAACTCAGTGGCGTGGTCGGATGGGACAGTAAATTTGTGGGGTCGTTCCAAAATGCTGATGCGTCCCGAATGGCTGGCTAAACGATCAGTTACGAGCAGCGAAAAGTAAGACGACAGCGCGCAAAATGGCGTAGATGCTTGACCATGTGCCTTCAGCTTAGCTAGTTCGATAAAACTATGACGTCTGCACCAATGTTGAATCTCTTCAAACCCTTGGCTGTCGACTCTGGAAAAGTATATGACGCTACGTATGTGAAGCCAGGCCTTCAGAGAAAACGTAAGAAAAATTTTGCAACTAGCCTGAACTTCTTCCGGAGTTTGCTTGAACCGCCAGTTACCTTAGTGTTTCATGTACTTTCCCATGTTTGCGCCTGCTTCTAGAGGATTCATTCGTAATTCATCAAATAAATTCATTAACTTCATCATCTTGCGTCTACTAACCCTAGTACTCCTACCGATGGTGACCCCCTCTTAAGGGAGGACTCTGGAGTTTATTTAGCAGAAATTCAAATTTGCTGAGATTTCCCAAGCGGTACGAGCAGCTCCTTAAGTGTCATACCTTGCAAAACTGAAAACTTGTAAATCTACGTGACAACATTATACGCTTCACGTTTTCGTACCTTTTTACCAAAAGCTCTATACACGTGAAATGCACACAGGCGTGTTAGAGCTGGACTATATGCAGAGTGTACGGCTGATACTTCTTTCTGCCAACAATCTTTTATCGATTTTCCGTTTCCGGTGTACTACCCATTAGTCCTTTGAACGAATCGAAGGTAGTATCAAGATCATTTGTCGACTCTTGCCTAGTTTACGCCAAAAAAACAGGCTGTCCCGTTCCAAAGTTTTCGGTTACCACACACCGGTACGGGAAAACCGAAATCCTCATGCAGGCAACTAACTCCACTTGCCTAGCATTTTTTAGTGTGTCTACGCGTATAACCCTGACAAACTTTCGGTACAAATCCACTTGCCACTGAGAAGAAAAAAGAATTCTATTAGAAACGTTCTTAGCTACAGGAAACTTGAGTTGGCAGCTAGCCTCAAGCATACGGTGCGCTGCATTATCCATATCGTCTGCGAAAATGGTTAACCTACTCGGCAGCTTACATCTACCCATAACCACACGCAAACTATATGCTTCTCCGGCTGTTGTCTTGTTATCAAAATTTAGTTCTGCATAGTCTATCACTTCAGTAACATCTGCACCCTTGCATAAGATGCCTTACAATTTTTTCGCCGTCAGAAAGTCCAATGAAGTACGGATCCAATCTCATACACCCTTCGCTCCGTCATTCTCATTTCCGACAGCATAAATTCGCATGCGGTGTATTTCAGTTGGAATTCTGGAGGAACAACCAGTAGACTTTGAGCGACAGGAACTGGGCCACATAGCCTCCTTAGGTGTAAACCAACCCCTTGAAGCTTCCATCTATGTCCAGATACGCATTCAAACACCAGAATCAGGCAATAAACCTATTGCACTACGCTAACCTGCTTTGACTTAGTGGCCGCGTGATGCACGCTTGTAGCCTGTAAGCAATTAGTTCATAATGCATGGAATACCATCTAAGTCCTTTAAAGGTTCTTTAACTTCATTCCAGAACCTCGCCTGGTTAACTAGTTTACTAGTTACTAGCCGGTCCTAAGCCCGGGTAAAGAGGGAAGGTTGGGCATAGGGCTAGCAACCCTACCCCGTAAAACAAATCTAACCGCTAAAGAAACTTCAAAGCACAAACAAAATATAAAAAATGAAAACAAACTTATTCCCCGCTGGAATCGGAGAGGCGAAATGACGCCAGTTGGTGAAAGCCTTCGGGAAGCCAATTGGCCGATGTGTCTTCTCTCGATGAAAGCGAAAGTAAACGTGGGGACATGGAATGTCCGCACGATGTTTGAACCCAGTAAGGCAGCCCAGATTGCAAGGGAGATGAGAAGGTATAACATCGAAGTGCTTGGGATTTGCGAAAGCAGATGGAATGGGAGTGGACTCTCCAAACTGTCAACTGGAGAATCAATAATCTACTCCGGTCACCCAGACGCCAACCACGAGCACACTGAGGGAGTGGCTATCATGATGTCCTCAAGAGCATCGAAGGCTCTCATGCAGTGGGAACCAATCTCCTCCAGGATCATGACAGCAAGATTCAACTCAAAAGGAAGAAAGGTCACAATCATACAATGTTATGCACCTACAAATAATGCAGAGCAAGAGAAAAAGG